TGGGAGGATTCCTGGTTGCCTGGTGACAGCGCTTATATTGTACCTACTCCGACAAATAATAGCAACCCGGATTTAATGGTATGTGATTTAATCGATATGAATTTGCATTGCTGGAAGGTTGATGTGATTGATTCAAATTTTATTGCTTCCTAAAGAGATGCTATCCTTGATATACCTCTGCCTTGTTCTGGCCAAAAAGATACTCTTTACTGGTGGCCAACGAAGGATGGTATTTATTCTGTTAAAAGTGGGTATTGGCTTGGGCGTATGGGGCAGTTGCGTGCGTGGGATCTTTTCCATGGGGATAACTCTAATTCTTTGTGGAAGTTGATATGGAGTGTTGGAGGTCCCCCTAAGCTCAACCACTTTTTATGGAGGGCGTGTAAGGGGTCGTTGCCTGTGATGGGTGTCATGTTTAGACGCCATATTAGTGCCTCTCCTAGATGTTCTGTATGTGGCTGTGATGATGAGACTGTTATGCACTCACTCTTCAAGTGCACTTATGCCATGGAGGTTTGGGGAACGAGTGACTTTGGCGAGTTATTGAATAATGCACCTACGAGTTCCTTTGATACTATGTTTATCTGGAATGCTTCTAAGGTTAGCAAAGAACGGCTGAGTGTCTTTGCTTCTCTGGTTTGGGCGGTATGGAATTGCAGGAACAGTCACATCTTTGGAGGTGGAACAAGTGTTGATGCTGTTCGAATTGGTACTGGTTTCGTAAAGCTGCTTTACGACTACCGCATCTACAATGCTAAGGTTTGTAAGTAAAGTAGTGCGCCCTCTGCTGCTCTGAGGGGTTCCTGGCAGCCCCCATCAAGAGGAAAGGTGAAAATAAATGTTGACGCTCATGTGATGCAGGGGAGGGGAATTAAATTAGGGGCTGTGATTAGAGGGCCTGATGGGGAGTTGCTAGCAGCAGCAGTGAAACACTTGGAGGTTCTAGTCCTGCTATGGCAGAAGCGGGTGCAGCAAGATTTGGGGTTGAGTTGGGCAGCAGACTAGGCTACAATGAGGTGGTATTGGAATGTGATGCTATGCAAGTTGCTCGTGCTATTCAGACTAGGAGGATGCGGTGTGCTCCTATTTATCTCTTACTTGAGGATGTTCTAACTATTAGTATGTTTAGTTTCTTTTGTTGTAAGCATGTGAAGAGGAGTGGCAATTCACTAGCTCATTCAGTTGCTCGTTGGGCAGTGAATACAAACTCGGAATTCATTTGTACCGATTCTTTTCCCCAAAGCCTTTGTACTTTGGCGGAAATTGATTTAATATGATCACTTTGCTTGCTTGGTTTCAAAAAAAAAAAAATTATTATAAAAAATATATTTTAAAAAAAAACATATATGTGTTAGTTTAGATTGGGTCAAATAATCGATTCAAGTGATCTGATTTCAAAATTCAGGTTGGGAATTTCGAGTAATTGATGAGTATGAGCCAGTTTGCCAAGTCTTGTCAAAAATGGAGTTACATCTTGATTTGAATTAGTTTGGCGGTTTCTCATACAGTGTACATACCTTAGCTTGCTATCCACCCGAGCGTTCGTCTGTAAATTGAACTATATCTCCGATTTATATTTTTTGCAATTTTGGAATATTTTACATCTCACAATTAATGCTCAAAGTTGCAAAAAACATAGAACAAGGTAGTAATTATTGTATATAATCTGATATTGAACTAAATTTTTTTTTTCCTACTTATTTCAATTTGACCGAACTTTTTTTTTTTTTTGGATCCATAACACACGTGATCTAATTTGCATTGGTCTAATTATATGATATGATATGGTATGGTCTAGTTCAATCTAATTAAATTTAATAAAAATAACAAGATCTCAAATTAAAGTGAGTTGGACATTATTTAAAATCAGGCCAAAAAACATGATTAAATCATATTAAAAATATATTATACTTTTATAAAACCTCATATTTAAAATACTTTAACCCTTTAAAATATTTAATTAAAATACTTAAACCCTTAACAATACATTTTATTAATACTTAAATACTTTATTAAAGTACATAAAAATACGGGGTATTACACGCAATAATGTGTATTTTATTAATATGTAATTTTTCATAATTTTTTTTCATTTCGGAATGAAAGACAATTAGCGATAAAAAATTGCACATAAAACGATAATTTGGTCCGAACTTAATTTTTTGATCTTATCAGATCTGAACTTATTTTTTCTGAAATAAGTAAAGATAAGGTGAACTAAACAAGGCCTTACACATTAGGTATTTTCCCTCTGTTTTATTTTATTTATACATTCTATTTAGAACTACGAGTATTATTTGTCAAACAAAAAGATTAAATCAAAAGAACAAAAAGGAATAGAGGGAGTCATAACACCCACTTGGTATATTTTTATACCAACCTACCTATCAAATCAAGTAAGGCCACATAATAAATATGAATAACAAGTGTGATTTAAAAAAAATGTACGAATATAATAATTAAAAAAAAAGGAAGAAGAAGAAGAGGAGTTCATGCCATAATTAGGACTTAGGGAGCAAGCCATGTTTCACCAATGGCAGCAAACTCTATATTTAAAATGGTCCTTGAACCTCTTAACTAGTTAACTCTTTCAAGATCACTTATATATTCAACGTGCTATGGACTACCAAACAAATGATTATCTTCCATTAAAAATTACTTGTAGCACTACGTCTTGACTTTTGAGGTTTAATCTTGACTAACATGCTTAAAACGTACTAGAGGTGTAAAACCTAACAGATCAACTTATTCCGGATCATATAATACTATAAGACCACCTTGTAGGTGGGTTGAGCTAAGGCAAGAGAGAAAAAAAGGATAAGGTTACATGCTTTCATTTTCAATTTAGATTTGTTCAATTGATTTTAGGTTGGAATTGGTTAGCGTAGGATCAAGTCATTATCAATCAATATGCTCATTTTTCCCTAAAAAAAATAAAAAATAAATATGTTTATTTTAATTATTAAATATATATATATATATATATATATATATATATATATATATATATATATATATTTTAAAAATATGTGTGTTAGTTTAGATTGGGTCAAATAATCGATTCAAGTGATTTGATTTCAAAATTCAGGTTGGGAATTTCGAGTAATCCACGAGTATGAGCCAGTTTGCCAAGTCTTGTCAAAAATGGAGTTGCATCTTGATTTGAATTAGCTTGGCGGTTTCTCATACCCTGCACATACCTTAGCTTGTTATCCACCTGAGTGTTCGTCTATTTCTATAACACACAAAGAAATCATATATAGATTATTCGTAATGTGAATTGAACTACTACAGGCCTGTTCACATTTACTTAATTTCAGTCCAGTTCAGTTCAATTCAGCTCCAATCAGTTAAGTTCAATTTAGTTCAGTTTAGCTCCTAATTTTCCTCTCTCATAAAATATTCATTTCAGCTCAGTTAGTTTAGTTCAGTTCAACACCAATCATTTCAGTTCAGTTCAGCTCAATTTAGTAAATGTGAACAAGCCCTACCTCTAATTCATATTTTTTTGCAACTTAAGATTATTTTATATCTCAAAAATAATTCCCAAAGCTGCAAAAAACATAGAACAAGGTAGTAATTATTGTATGTAATCTGATGTTGAACTAATTTTTTTCTATTTCAATTTGACCGAACTTTTTTTTTTTTTCCATAACACACATGATCTGCATTGGTCTAATTTATATGATATGGTATGGTCTAGTTCAATCTAGTTAAATTTAATAAAAATAACAAGATCTCAAATTAAAGTGAGTTGGACATTATTTAAAATCAGGCTAAAAAACCTGATTAAATTATATTAAAAAATAACAATATAGTTTCAAAATAAGATAAAATGAACATAATCCGTAGTTTGGATTATCTATTATTTTAATCCTAGATGCTCAATTAATGACCACATATTAAAATTTGTGTATTTTTCTAGATCACTGAGTAATTATTAATTAATTATTTTCACCTACAGAACACAATCTGAAATTATAAGGTTAATTTCATCATCCATTTTTTATTTTCCAAATTGGAACACACCATAAAAATCTAAAATTTGGAATCACAAATTCACAACCTTTATTCTTATTAATTCCCACTCACACAACACAAAAAAGGACAGTAAGGCAGTAGGACATTTTAACAAAAATTCTGAAAGAATTAAGAATCAAGCAATTGTAGTTAAAGCGGCAGGAAGGAAGCATTATTAAAACACTCAGCTCTGTACAACTGCCTTTGCCCCTACCATCACTCACCACCACCAATCTCTTCCAGTTTCCACCACAAAAACAAAATTAAAAAATATAAAATATAAAATATAAAAAAAATTCTTCCATATTTTCCGTTTCAAATTACTAGTTCTGTTTTTTATTTTTTATTTTTTATTATTTATTATTATTATTATTTTTTTTTTTTCCGTGGAGTATGTCTTAAATTATTTTTTCCATGTCTAATACTTTCTCTTTTCATTTTCACTTGACCCATCTTTAATTTTGCACTAATTATATTACATGCACCTCTATGATTCTGTTATGGTTAATACATATAGGGGAAAAAAATAGACGTGTAACATGTTAGATTCATCGTAATATTTATTTTTTATATTTTACTTGTTGAAAATTAAAGAAGTAGACAATTCATTATGCATTGATAAATATGATAAAAACATGTTAAGTAAAAAAAGAAAGTTTTTCATAGTACACACTCTTCAATTTTTCTTCACCGTTATTAAATGTTGTCAATTCGTCATATAGCAAATAAATTAATGTATATAGTGAGCTAAACCCTTAAAATATGACATTGATCATATGTGTAATCTAAAGTTGAAAGGTACTCCGTATAATCTTTTTCACTAATTCAATCTAAACTTAGTTTTAAAAAACACTTCAAATCGAAAGTGAATGATATCTTAAGTGATTAGAGCTTCACTTCTGATAACAGATGATCTTGAAATTGATTTCATCACTCGTCCTTATGGACACTCTAAACAATAAAAAAAATACAGAGTAAAATAACTTTATATCGATACTTGTATTTGATTTGATGCATGGTTTTGTCCTAAACCATTTACTTCATTTACCCAAAATTTATTTATTACTTGATCCACATTGGTTTCCTTAAAAAAAATACACATGGTTGCTTCAATTACAACCGAGAAAAAAGAAAAAATAAATAAAATAAAATGTAAAATCCCAAAATGATTTGATTAATCAAAAGAAAAAAAATTTGCAGATCAAAGAAAGAGAAAGCAAGAGCGAAACCACCGCGGATCACGACAGCTTCTCTAACCCACCAACCAAACTATTCATTTCTTTTCTCTCTCCTTTAACTCCATTTTGAAATCTTGCATTTTAAGCTCAAAATTCTACTGAACTAAAGCAGAATACTCCAATTGTCGGCAAGATAATTTCCTGCTTTTTTTTGTAACCCAGAAAAAAAGTGAGAAAAAAAGGGGTCAATACAGTCTTATAGAGTCAAATTTCAGTGTATAATTTGGTAAAAAAATTGATTAATTTTGATCAAAAATTGAGTGAAAATTAAAGGGTGTTGAAATTTGCTCAAATGTTAGTCCAAGATCGAATACCCACTAAGGGTTCAGCTCAAAATCCCCAAAATTTGACGAAATCCCAGGTGAGAAATCTTCCAAGTTTACATCCTAGTCGATTTTCTGAGTCAAAATCCCTAGATTTTTCGACATGGGTTTCTGATAATTTGTATAAAATATTTGCAATTTTAGTATTACTTGCTACTGTTGCTGCTCTTTTCTTCCTTCGTAATGTTGGTTATAATGCCGCACTTGTTTGCTTTGAAAAACAAGCTCATGATGTTGAAACCATACATTTTCCTAAAGTTGATTGGAATTCTATTAAACCCAACTCTGATAAGGTCACCCCATATTCGAATTTTCGGGCAGAGAAGTGGATCATTGTGTCTGTTTCGGATTATCCGAGCGATTCGATTAAGGGTTTTGTTAGGATCAAAGGATGGCAGGTCCTTGCAGTAGGAAATGCTAGAACCCCTAATGATTGGAGTCTTAAGGGTGCTATTTTTTTGTCTTTAGATATGCAATCGAAATTGGGTTTTCGGGTTTTGGAACATTTGCCTTATGATTCATATGTTAGGAAATGTGTTGGGTATTTGTTTGCTATTCAGCATGGTGCTACTAGGATTTTTGATGCTGATAATAGAGGGGAAGTGATTGATGGGGATTTAGGGAAGCATTTTGATGTGGAATTGGTGGGAGAGCAGGCTAGGCAGGAGATTATATTGCAGTATACTCATGAGGATCCGAACCGAACAGTTGTTAATCCGTATGTACATTTCGGGCAACGTTCTGTTTGGCCTAGGGGTTTGCCTCTTGAAAATGTGGGTGAAATTGGGCATGAGGAGTATTACACTGAGGTGTTTGGTGGGAAACAGTTTATTCAGCAGGGGATCTCTAATGGTCTTCCTGATGTAGATTCGGTTTTCTATTTTACTAGGAAATCAGGGTTGGAAGCATATGATATTAGGTTTGATGAGAAGGCTCCAAAGGTTGCCTTACCACAGGGTATGATGGTGCCTCTAAATTCTTTTAATACATTGTATCATACTTCGGCATTTTGGGGTTTGATGCTTCCTGTTTCTGTCAGTACTATGGCTTCTGATGTGTTGAGAGGTTATTGGGCTCAGAGGCTTTTGTGGGAGATTGGAGGCTATGTGGTTGTTTACCCTCCAACAGTTCATAGACATGATAGAATTGGGCCATACCCTTTCGCAGAGGAAAAAGATCTCCATGTGAATGTTGGTCGTCTGTCTAAGTTTCTGGTTTCGTGGAAATCACACAATAACAGACTGTTTGAAAAAATATTAGAGTTGAGTTTTGCTATGGCTGAAGAAAGATTTTGGACTGAGAAAGATGTGAAATTTACAGCTGATTGGCTTCAGGACTTGCTTTCTGTTGGATACCAGCAGCCAAGGCTAATGTCTTTAGAAATCAATCGGCCACGGGCAGCTATTGGCCATGGAGATAGAAAGGAATTTGTCCCTAGAAAGCTACCCTCTGTGCACCTCGGGGTTGAGGAGACAGGTAGTGTGAACTACGAAATTGGGAACTTGATTCGATGGAGAAAAAACTTTGGAAATATCGTGCTAGTTATGTTTTGCAGTGGCCCTGTTGAACGTACTGCCTTGGAATGGAGATTACTTTATGGTCGAATCTTCAAAACTGTCATCATTTTATCATCACAAAAGAATGAAGATCTTATCGTTGATCAAGCACAGTTGGATTATGTGTACAAGTAAGTCAATCTCATCAGTTTGATCATTCATGCATTATTTTCCTGTTTCATCAGTTAGTAACTTAGTAATGGCAGTCTGATAGACTGGATCGGAACTTGAATTTCATGATGTGTTGGTTAGTGCTATATCTGCAGAGTTCATGCTATATATTATCTTTGAATGCTATTTGTATGTGAAATAATGGCACTGTTAACGTAATTATTGAAAATTTGGAAACTATTCACTATTTGTTTGTAAATCTCATGAGCTGGTTCCAAGTCAATAAGAATTTATTGCTTTCTTCTGTTGGTGACAAAATATGGTTTCTAGAGATTAACTCACTGCTTTAGGTAGACTTGAAGGGTTATTTTTGTCACTCTTTTTATGATGCTTACATATTTTCTCAGCCTTTTGTTTGAGTCACTGTTTTGAAATACTATTGAACTTATATAGGGAACTACTATCTTCTAGTAGTTTGCTTTTTGGTTGTGTGTACTTCTGGAAATCTATATCGGCAGATAAAACGCTTCTTTCATGCATTAACATAAGTGCCTTTTTTTTTTTTTTTTTTTTGCTGAAAATTTCAAGAATTTTTGCTCAGTACCCAAATGTCTCACCTACAATACCCCAAGTAAGTTCTGTCACAGATGGGGAAGTCAAGATTCAAAACATAAACAACCTTACAATTAATCATTCAGGACTAGCATGTGACAGCTTTTTTTTTTTTTTTTTTTTTTTTTTTTTTTTTTTTTTTTTTTTTTGGAGAAAGACAACAATAAAACCACCACCACCCAGTATGCATCTCGTTCAGGCAGATTAGCAAAGACTCAGACTTATAGCCGTTCTAGGGAAGCTACTTTTCATGAAAAGGTCTTAACCAATAATGAGGGAGAAAAGAAAGAAAGCAATAGAAATTTTTTTATTGGAAATAGTAGGTACTGTAATAATTTTGAAGAGTGAAGGGAATCTCCTATGCAGAGGATCCCTTATTTTGAGTTCACGAATTAGGGGGAAAAAAACCTTAGTTTACCACAACGTCCTATCAAGTTCTTGTCCTTGTTAACTCGGTAAGTCCTGGATTAGCTTAGTCCCAATGACCTTCCTGATCCTCTGAATATTTGTAGGTGTTCAGCTAGCTCTCTTGTAACCTCATTGCCCATCGTCCCATGGTCTCAACTCTCCGCAATGAGGCATATGTTACTTAGTCTCTTTTTCTTATAAAGGCATTTTGCGCATTGAAAATTTCCTCATTGATTATCATGTCTACTATTGTACAATTGTATCTTTAATGAAACATCCTCATATCAGCCACAACTTGCACATGTGTAATTGCCCAATATTGGCTGTGTAGCACTTAATTCAGTAAACCAAATTTTAGGTTTGACTTTAAAAGACTTCATTTTCTTATGAAAAATAAACAAAGTGGTTTTATCCCTGTATGTATTCTTCACCGGGTAAAGGATTAGGAGCATATGTACCTAATTCACGAATTATGTACATGGAATCAGTTTCTAGAGTATGGCATCATAGTCACTTTGGTCTCTGTCACTGTGAAGGTGTTTCAGTCAAGTTTCAACATAGTGATGAAATCATTAGCTGTTGATTTCAGTACCAAGCATATGATGCAAACTTGTGTCCCCCTTTTTCCATGGAATTCCAATGCTTGTAAAAGAAATATAACTGATAGGATAATTATTATAATGAACATTTTGTTGATTACAATTTTGATTTGGTTTACAGGCAGCTTCCTACGATAATGAATAGATATTCAAGTGCTGAAGGATTTCTTTTTCTCCAAGATAATACCATCCTTAACTATTGGAATCTAGTACAAGCTGACAAGAATAAGCTTTGGATCACTAACAAGGTAATAAGAACTGTAATACTCTTGCTATTATTTTCTCTGCAGTGTATTCATCAAGACTATAGACTTGGAAGGCGAATTAAGGGAATTGAAATTCTTTCAACAAAAATTTTAAAATTGCATTGTCTGTACATTTCCTATGTGTTATAATTTTAGGATTGATGAAATCTATTCCTTTGCCCCATAGTGGACTTTATGAGTTTTTCAAGATACATTTTGACATCTCTCAGTTTTTCTAAAATATGGATCAAATTTCCAACTTTATTATTTAAATGCAAAGAGTATATGCTACAAATAGATTTATTGCCCCCCAAGCCATTCCTTTCTTCAGTGTCTTAGAAATTTCAGTTTTTTTTTTTTTTTTTTTTTTTTTTTGTGGGAAAGAAGAAACAAAATCCAAATAAAAAAAACCACATATACTGCTGTTATTCAATTTACTGTCTATTTCTGTTTTATATTCAACAAGCCTAATGGTTTTCAGGTATCAAAGTCATGGACTCCTGTCTCAAACAACAATGGTGATTGGTTCTCCAAACAAGGAGAAATGGTAAAGAAGGTTGTTGAGACAATGCCAGCTCACTTTCAAGTAAATTACAAGGAAGCTGCAAAGAGCAATCAGGGCTTTGTGGTATGCAGTTCAGAGCTATTCTTTGTTCCGAGGAGTAATGTAGAAGACTTCATTGATTTAGTTGCTTTGGTAGGCGACTTGGAAATGCATCACAAGGTTGCAATACCCATGTTCTTTCTGGCAATGGATTCACCTCAGAATTTTGATCCAATATTCAGCACCATGGTTTATAAAAAGAAACCACCATCAGGCAACACAACCTTGTATTCTGCTCAAGCACCGGCCATTCACCCCTGGAGTGTATCAAGTGAACAAGAATTTATCAAGCTTATTAGAGTAATGGCTGCTGGAGATCCTCTTTTGATGGAATTGGTTTGACGCGAAGAACATTTTTATTCTTTTGCCATTCAAGTCAGAAACAAGTAAAAAACAGTAAGTAGAAAAGCATATGTAACACTGTCAATGAACACTTCTTCTGTTTTTAGTTCTTTTTCCTGCCCTCGAAGGGGGAGGAGTTTTTGTAAAAAAAAATTCCTTATATGATTCAAATTCAGTGAGTGAATATTCCAAAGGAAACAAGAGGAATTCTGTTCATTCTTTCTAACATGCACCAAATTATAATGTAAATTTCTTACATTATATATCTTTGATAGACTTGTTCATCTATTGATCAGATTGCTCTTAGATTGTCGAGATTTGCAGAATGTTGTTACTCTGTCTATTAATCCAATTAATTGTGTTTCTAGTATTGCCCTAGTTATATGAATCTGAAATGAAGTGTTATCCTAAGAGAGGAATTTTCGGATTGAAAGTCATACTCAGGAATTTATTCTAAGCAAATTCTGCAAAAATGTCATAGCACTAAGGCATTAGCAGGTTATGGATAAAATATTCGGCAAACTTTGCAATTTATTTAGCAAAATACATTCCTTTTTGATGAATTTTGAAATAAAAACAGTGTCATGGCTACCTTGCGGCATATTTGGATATTACTTTCTCCCTTTCAAATTATTTGTCGTGTTACTTTATCACGTTCACCAATGCATATATTAGTCAAGATCATACATGATTATGATTTTTTTTAAAAAATCTATAAATCACAAAAGCTAGTCAAAGTAGAGATGGTGAATGTTGGCAAAAGTCAAAAGTCAAAACGTGTTAACTAATTTGAAACGGAGAAAGTATTAAATAACATAATCAATGGATAGGCTTTTGATCCAAGTAGACTTGGCATAATTGAGTAATTGACTAATTACTCAATCCGAAATACCTGAAAAATTAGCAAAATCACATTACATGTAAATCGGTCTTGACTAAAATCATGTCAAGTGGGTCGATCAAGTCTGGTCAGGGTTGGAGATTTTTGGGTTGGTGCTGTTGGGGTTTGGGTTTGATTTGAAAAATGCTTGTTCATGAATCATGACTAAACTTTTGGGTTATGGTCGACCAACCATTTAACTTGTTGAAGGATTTTGAATGCCTATATTATTTGTATTTTTATCCACATACAAATACAAAATATCTGTCATAAAACAAATCAGAAAAAACAATCCAGCCATAAATGATGGGTAAGTCCAACCAAAAAACCATGTTAAATCATCATAATCTCATTTATTTACTATGTATAAGATGATTCATGGTTGGTCGGGTAAAACAGGTCAGGTCGGTTTTGACCCAAAAATATAGGCCTGTTTGAGTTCTAGTTACCTTGTCCAGTTCAGGTAGAATAGATTGGCAAGTCTCAACATTATATGGTTAAATCAAAATTTAATATCAACAGAAGATCAGAAACATGTGTAAAGTTTTCATTTTCAGAGACAAATTATGGCTCACAATGAATAGAGAACAATGTATGCCTGGCATATTCACAAGCTTATTTTACATAATTTACCTATCAACTCCTTCAATCTTGTCTTCGACTTCAGAATACAATTGCCTCAATTTCTCGATGTTTTCCTCTGAAGTTTCCCAGTAACCCCTTCCATTGGCCTCTAAGAAAGTCTGTAACAACTTCCTGAAAGAGTTGGGGTTGGTGTTCATCAGCTTTTTCAGCATCTCTTCATCCTTGATGAAAGTTGTGTTAGCCTCTTCGTAAACCCAGTTGTCCACTTGGCCTGAGGTTGCACTCCATCCAACAGTGTTAGTCAGTCTCTTCTCAATCTCACGTACACCCTCGTATCCAGTTGAAAGCATTCCTTCGTACCACTTGGGGTTCAGCAGCTTTGTTCGTGCATCTAGACGTACAGTCTCAGAGAGAGTACGTACCTGCAGAAATCCAATTTAGAAACATTTCAGTCAGCTTTATTATTTCAGGTACCTTGTATCAAAACATAATTAATGACACCAGAATATTACTTAATACAATTATATATATATTTTTAATACTGATCAAATTTTTACTGTTTAAAACTGATCTAAACACTGAATTCACTAATATTTCTTTTTTGTATACAGTTAGTGATCCGTCATTAGTTAATATTATAGAACATAAATCAGTTGTGATGTTGTGTCATGACAATACCATAAATACCTTTTCCCCTTCAATTCATTGTAAAGCAAAACTCAATAGCAGCAAAATGACCTAAGCTATCTTTAGATACCTTTCACCAATCTCAAACACACTACCTATTTTTCAAGCGTGTGGTATTTTAAATTAAGCGATCTAAGTTAACAAATTCTGACCTTTCACTTGATGTATACAGTCAACTAGATTATGGTACAACTATTATATCATCTTCATAAGTATCTATCTTTCTATGTTATTTAATCTCAACTTTTCTTAATACTATTATGAACAGATCTTGGTAAAATGTACTCAATTTTAGCATGAATATAGATGGCAGTGTGACACTAATCTCACCTGAGCATTGGCTGTAGTAGTATCAGCAATGTAAGCACTTGGCTTCTTCCCATCTTTCCTGAGTCCCTGCACCAGATTTGTGGGGTCTGAATCAAAGTAGTGACTCACATCAGTCAGAGAGATCTCTGATGAGTCAAGGTTCTGGAAAGTAGCATCAGCTGTTGAAAGAGCCATCTCGAACACCTTCCGCTTCTCAGTCATTCCAGCACCAGGTGCATCAGAGTCAAAGGCAAATGACTTTCTGCTCAAGTACATATCTTGCAGTTGCTTCTCATCATTCCATGAGGAATTCTCAACAGCAAGATTGATGTTTGACGAGTATGATCCTGAGGCATTAGAAAAGATCCTTGTAGCAGCCTCTCTAATATCAACACCAAGGGTTTCGGCTTGCTCCAGTGCATGCTTTCTCACATAGTTCTGCTCCACTGGCTCATCAAGCTCAGCCACCATCTTAATTGCCCGATCAAGAAGGTTCATCTGATACAAGGTAACAATTGTGGAAAAATTGGCATCAGAAACTAATTCACATAGGCACATAGCATAATGATGCAGGAAATTTGAGTCCTAATATAATCTTAAGAAGATAATGCACTACAAAATTGTTAATGTGGATTCCAAAAAGAACATTACCTGGTTGATGAACAGGTCTCTGAAGACACCTGAGCAGTTAACAACAACATCAATCCTAGGCCTTCCAAGCTCCTCAAGACTGACAGGTTCAACCCGATTGACTCTCCCAAAGGTATCAGCAATTGGTCGCACCCCAATCATCCACAGAACCTGACCAAGTGACTCCCCATAAGTCTTGATGTTATCAGTTCCCCACAATACAAGTGCAACTGTTTCAGGAAATTTTCCTCCATTATCTGCTTTTTGACGCTCGAGCAGCCTATCCACAACAACCATTGCACTCTGCATGGCTGCAGTTGTAGGAATGGCTTGTGGGTCCAAAGCATGAATGTTTTTCCCAGTTGGTAGCACTTTTGGGTTCCTGATCGGGTCACCACCAGGACCTGGCTCTACAAATTTCCCTTCAAGAGCTTGCTTCAAACTTCCCAGCTCATTATCAGCCACAACCAGCTTCAAGCACTCCCCTAAGAATGCAAATAGAACCCTAAGTTTCTCCCTATCAGCTTGGTAAAACTTAGTGTTTGACAAGTACTGAATCCATGGTTCATTTATTCCAAACCCGAGAATTGAAGTCAATTTGTCATTGACATTCACAACTTGACCCTTACTATTAGTTGTTTTTTCTACAAATGCCATGACAGCTCCTCTTGATGTCTCAGTAATTTGCCTTAGTAGCTCAACATCTTTCAATACTCCCTTATCATTTCCTCTGTAGACATCTTCTATGCTCCTTCCAACGGTCTCAGCTAGTATAGAAGGGAGGGCGGATATCCCCTCCTCAGGACGATCCAAAGCAGCAATGTTAACCAAAGTTGCCACAGCCTCCAAGGCTGATGGAGGCTCACCAATCACATGAAGCCCACAAGGCAAAAGACGAGACTCAATCTCCATGATCTTCGAGTAGACTTTTCCTACCACAGAATCTCTTTCTTTAGCAGAGATCTCTGCTCCTTCATCAGGAAGATCCACATCTTTGTCAAGATTGCATTGTCTTGCAGTGCTGATGATGGAACTCACAATCTGTTGGCCCCGGCCTGTATCTTTGAGGGATTGGTATGAGGAAATGAGCTCACTCAGTTGTTTGAGCCCCTTGTAAAGTCCTGCATTTTCAGCTGGAGGGGTCAGATAGCTGATAGTATTCGCATAGCTACGTCGTTTAGCTATTGTTGCCTCAGATGGGTTGTTAGCAGCATAGTAGTAGACATTGGGAATGTTGCCAATGAGACTATCAGGGAAACAAGCATCACTCATTCCCACTTGTTTTCCCGGCATGAATTCTAAGGAACCATGAGTTCCAAAATGAAGAACTGCATCCGCTCCAAATATTTTCTCGACAAATGAGTAATATGCAGCAAAACCATGATGTGGGCTAGCTGATTTAGAGAAAAGTAGCCTCATAGGATCTCCCTCATAACCAAAGGTAGGCTGAACACCGATGAAGACATTCCCGTACTGCTTTCCATATACCAAGAGATTCTCTCCATCAGAGTTCAGATTTCCTGGGGCTTTTCCCCAGTTTTCTTCCAAGAGTGTTGCATAAGGAGTTAGGTTCTGATACTCCCTAACACTCATTTTGTATGCAACGTTGAGATTTGGGCTGTTAAATTGAGCCTCTTTGTCGTGGATTACATCTTCAATCAAGGCTTCAGCATTCTCTGGGAGGCCTTCAATATTGTAACCATCCTTTTTGAGATCTTTAAGGACAGAGAAAATAGAGGCAAACACGTTAAGGTATGCAGCAGTTCCAACATTTCCCTTGTCTGGAGGGAAGCTGAAGACGGTAATGGCTAGCTTCTTCTCAGCCTGAAAACATCCATGTCATCAGTTAAAATTCCCAGTCAAAAAATTTTTAAAATTTTGTGGCGATTAAATATATACCCCTAAAAATATGATTAAGATAACAGGAAAGAACACTAAAGATAGTAGTTGGGAGTGTCATAGAGTATTCAACTACACATAAAACATAAAAGTGAGTTATGAATTTAAAAAATCAGAACTTGCTTTGGAAGAAGCAGGTATTTTTAAGACTTCAAGAGGGGTCTACAACTAATTTCAACAATGCAGGTGACAGCAAAACATAAAAAGGGTGATTAACAAAAGAGCCAAAGGAT